CTAATTTTGGCATTTTTATATTCTTCTCTTAAAACCTCCTTTTTTACTTGGGTATTTCCAAATAAAGTGTATTTGTTATAAGCCTTTTCAAACTCTTTGGTGAGTGGACATAAAAGCATGGATGATGGTAGAACTCTGCTATTTTCGTCAGGAACAGTACTTGAATGAAAATAATGGTCTAGCAGGGTTAAGGAGCCATGACTACTTAAGTTTTTCCAACCCACCCCTTTCCAGGGAGTAACCAAGGAGTAATGGTCACATGAATAGCATTGTGGTGCTTTCAACCTGCACTAACTTGTCACGGTCGTCAGCAGGGAGTATTCTCCCCCACGTTAAAATCTCCCCTCACCCCTCTCGGGCAGTGGACGGGATACAACACAGAACTCTAATGTCCACTGTGTCAAGCTGCTTCGGTCCTCCGGATTCTGTCTGAGCACAGTCTCTTGAATTTAGGCAACAACGACTCCTGCAATTTTAAAGTGCAGGTTGTTGGTTCTTACTCTGAGCTCCTTTCGGTCTTCTCCTAGGCCCGATAGAGGACGAGTCTACACACACAGGCACCTCACCTGCTGGTGTTTCTCCCCACACCCCTCGACACTGTCCAAACCTGCAGCACTCCCCTCATCACGTAAACACCTACATCTGTATGCAGAAATACTTCCACTCACCTTGGCAATTGTGCGCCCTGAAAATTATTTCTGAGATAATCAGATTTAAGGGTAAAGATTCATCTTTCTTAGAAAAATTAGGACACTTGGGTGAGGGATAAATTACCTCATTTTACTGTATTTGCTAGGCTTCTTTGCATCCTAGATCTTGGTTGCCACCCTCCCTGCTTCCCCTTAAGTCATATCCTTACATTAAGAATGAGCCTATATTTCAGGAAAAAATGGATGTCAGAGCTGAAGGCTCTGAGAGTAACAGCTGTACATTCTTGTCTTTATGCAAAGCAGAATTTTAAGTAATCCAAATCCTGTTAACTGATCAATTGAGAAACCTGTTTCTTTTTCTTCTTTGTAATGTAGAATTCTTGAAATAGGTTTAGACCACACAGCCAGTCCACAGCCAGTAAATGGGTTAAAGTCCAACAAATGACTTCATGCACTGGTTTGAGTTTTCCCAGGAAAGCATTGTCTTACAGGCTATTTGCCTCTGGCTAGTCAGCTATAACGTGATTGAAACACTACACATATGTATAAAAAATAGTAGGAAACAATGCTGGGAATGAGTAAACAGGGAAAGGAATACATTTGAATAATACTTAGAAAATATATAGGAAGCTGATCTTTTTAAAAGATTTACTTGGAGCATAATGAATAGGTAACTGGAGACATTTTTTGGAGCTTCTGAAGAGAGATCTGAACACTCAGAGGTTATTGACAAGGTTCTGTTACGCCTTTTGATGTGTTTTTCATTTTGAATATTTGAAGAAGCCCAGTGTTTTATTTTGTCCAGTTTCATTTCAGAATGGGCCTTAGATTTTTCTTGCTACAGAAGAATCACGATCCCTACCCTTATACTGACCCAACGCAGTTAACATTTGTACTCTAATTATTGCTAATATTTGTATCACCAATGAAGCCAAAAAATAGAGAGGAAGTAGGGTTTCTAAAGGTAACTTAGCAAAATGAAGTAGGTAAGAATAAAGAGGAAACATTGAAAGGAATCTGGTGAAGACTGAAAAGTCTTTACAGGAGGTGATGTTAAATGGATCCTCATAGGGGAAAGCCAGGGCTGGGGGGGAGGGGGTGTGTGGTTTGTCCATGATTCCCTTGATGGACCATAAAGGAAGGGCAGAGAAGCAGTATCAGATGCTGGGTATCAGCTGTTGTGTGTGTAGGTGACATAGTTATGGGGTTCACAGAATCAGGGAATTCGGAAGTGGAATGACTTTTACTTTTCTAAAATGGAACCTAAGATAACCTTTTTGACTCATGGCTGATAAGCTTTCTCCAGATGTTTTCAAATGTTCTCTGCCTAATTCAGTGATTTTTGTTTTTCTAGTCATATTGGAGTATTAATCTCCCCGTCTCAGTTTGTTTCACAAATACCATCCAGGTATTTTCTTTCCATTCTTCATCCTACCCCACTGTCCCCTGCTTCACTGCCTGATGTTTTTGACTTCATGATGGACCTTGGATGTGACAGAGATTGTGTCCAGAATGTGTGTGTATGGTGTGAAGTACACGTGTGGGGTGTCCTAGAGGGAACACTGCCTCTAGTCTTATACGCATGGGTGATGTAGGGGAGACTGTTGTTTGCCGACACCAGTGTCTTTTATAGAAACAGTTAGTTAAGTCACTCAGTCGTGTCCGACTCTTTGCGACCCCGTGGACTGTAGACCACCAGGCTCCTCTGTCCATGGGATTCTCCAGGCAAGAATACTGGAGTGGGTTGCCCCTGATTTTCAGCTGGACACAAAGTCCATCCTGAATAAAGACCATAACTGCAATTAGCTGTAGCAGAAGTGTGTGACATTCAAGTTCTTCCTCCTTGAAAGTGTTCTTCTTTTTCCATTTTCTCTAGCTAGAATTCTGACATGATAATGAGACATTTTGGACACACAGGTGAGGATAATAATGCCCAGGGATGCTGGTTTTGGGATAGAAAGTGCCCAGACAATTCCACGGACAGAACTTCTATTGCAGCTCTGAACTCTTCCTCGGGCCGTTCCATGTTAGAAAAATAAATTTAGATACGTTTAAACCATTGTAAATTTGGGGTTTTGTGATATTAGCTCAACATATACCCAAACTAGCACGTGGTGAAAAGAGGGAGACTACGCAATGTAACTAGATGTTACACATACATAGAAACTTGAGCAGTAGGTGCTAGAAATGGTGTTGAGTGGTGGATGGATGTGGACAGTAAGGACCTTCCCAGAGGCAATCGTCCTGTCTCTGATGATGCTAAAGAAGTAGCCAAGGTTTTAGAGAACATATTAAAAGTGTAGGATTTCTATGTAATGCAATACATGGAAATGCATTGGGGATAAAAACAACTGCTGATTACTGCAATTCAATAAACCACTTACTGCAGTCCCTGGAAAGAATTATTAAAAAGCCATCCCAATGCTCTTTGGCTGACCTTAGGTTTAATCTGAGGTTTAGCATCCCCCTGTTTGTGGGATTCAGATTTTAAGAAGGAAGGATTAAGAAACACATTTGCTGACTGTCTGAAAGAACATAGCCTATGTAAATCAACAATAGTTCAATTTAAAAAAAAAGACTATAGTCTAGAGCAGAGAAATTCTTCAATTAGGGTGCGAAAGGAAAGTGCTTGTACTTTGCAGATTCAGACATTCTTCAAAACAAACAGGCTGGATTCTTGGCTATACAAACAACAGACACGAAGAACAGCAGTCCAGCTAGGTTTCTACCTCCCAGAGTCCACAGAAACCACGAGGTGATATTAGTCATTGGAGAAGACGTGTAGAAAGAGAGGTTATCAGAATTTCATCATGTCCCCAGTCTTCTGTACTAACTCCGTTCCTTCCGAGAATATTTTGGCCGCGTGCATCTTACAGAGAGTTAAACTCACCAGATAGAGCACAATCTTTGTCCAGAGTGGCTGTATTAATCAACCGAGATCATAAAAGCCACCTACACCATGAGCGACCCGTGGGTTTTGGCCGATGCCCGAGGAGGGGTTGGGGATGTGCCCAGCACCCTCTCACTCAGTATGCATCCAGATGCTCTCCCTTCCTTTCAGCGCAGAGAGAGGCTGTGTCTGGGGAGGGGTGGGGGAGCCTGTGTTGTCCAGGAAGCACAGGGATGCATATCAATCACTCTGTTTGGCGGGTAGTACAGACACACTGCCCTTTTATCCAATCACTATGCAGGCCTTCCTTTCCCGTCCGTTCGGGAAGTAGGACTCTTTACAATATAGATGCTGTTCTGAGTTACAGTGATAACGCATGTTTGTGAACTACTCAAGAAATTACAAAGCTTCTAGGTGATTTGTTTTCACATTGCTGGGAGCCACATGCAGATGGCTAATTTCAATCCTGGTGTTTGCGTCCCACTAACTGACTAATGCAACAAATATGTGTGGCAATTCTCTACTGGACCCATAATGAAATGGGCCTCTAACTGACTAATCAGCAAATATGTGTGACAATTCTCTACTGGACCCATAATGAAATGGGCCTAGGAATCCCCCAAGCTGGAAACTCTCTGGCTTTTCCCTGGTGATCCCTTCAAATGTGGTCACCATCAAAAACAGGGGGCCTCTCTTGATTTTGCAGCATTCTCCTTCTGAATATTTCTCTGGACACACTTGCTCCCTACCCTGTTGGTGGATTAAAATGAACTTTTGATGTAGCAAGTTCAGATTTTGGAGAACACCCGCGATATAGGCAGGTCTGTTATAATATGGTTTATTTGTTTTTGTTGTTCATTTTGCCTTGGCTTAACCCACATACCAGTCAACTGTGTGTTGTTAAAATATTTCACCTCTCAGTCCTCCGTTTGCATCAACTAACTTCACCAACCTACGGCTCTGGGTCATGGAAGAAGCAAAATCTTCTCTGCGATGACCAAGTCTCTCTCTGAGACTCAGGACAGGTGGCAGCCTTTTGATGACCCTGTGGACTCCAGCTTGTTGATTACAAACCACCTGGCGAGTTCAGGGATGCTCTCTGAACTGCTGCTTCCTCCCTCATACTTCCAGGAACTCTGTAGTCTACCCACTCTGAACAAGTCCTCATCTCGCTCATCTCCCTTGTTCCAAACACTGTCTCTTTTTCTCAGCATGCATGCTCTTCAATGAGTTTCCTGACCCAAGGCTCTTATTCATATATCTGCCGGTCCACACATATGGGCGAGCTGTTAATCAGCTTTTGTTTAGCATCAGCCTAAGCATTTCAACTTCTGGTTTCTATTGTGTTACTTCTCGGCATGGAAATGGGCAAAATGCATGTTCACTACAGAACCCTCAACACCACCATCCCTGGCACTTGGGCCGCTCTTGCCTTGTGCACCGGCCCCTGGCCCACTCACCGGCTATGGAGGAGACGACCACAATGCTCCCGTTGGTCTGCTTCAGCATGGGCAAGGCGGCCGTGCTCAGGGCCACATAACTCAGGAGGTTGATATCCAGGCTTCTGCGCAAGAGATGGATGTCATTGGTAAACACACTTAAAGGTGTGTAGTTGATGTGGTTGAGAATGAGCATGTCAAGTCCCCCTGCAAGAGATGGCTGTGGTGAGAGAAACCATCTGTGGTTGATACCTCCCCTCTTCCTCCCCCATCTCAAAAGCTCCCTGGTGACCCCTAGGGCAAAGTCCAGAAGGGGAGAGAGGAGATGCCGTCTCACCCATGAGCTTTCCAGCTTTGGCAACAAATTGTTCTGCGAAGGTCATGTTCTCCATGGTGCCCGCCACGTAGTGCGCTGAGGCCGCCCCCAGCTCCCGGCAGTGGGATACCACCTGCAGGGGCACAGAGGCAGCTGGCGTCGGTCTTGGCTGCAGACCTCTGGGGGGACAGTCTCTGGCATGATGGGGGCTTAAATGAGAGGTTGCTCACAGCTCTGAAAAGTGTGTGTATGTGTGTGTCATTAAAGGCAACTGACACAGCATTTGTCCTGTTTAAAATACTGTCTGGAACAAGGTCAGGTTATAGATGGATAAATCATGTTGCTGGAGTTTTAGTCCATGATTTGTGCTCATGAGGCTCTTTGAACAGATGTTTCTGAACACATGATTGATATGGATGCTCGTTTCCGTGTGGGTAGCCTTAGGTTTGTGCATATTTGTGAGTCCTTGGGTTTGTGCGCCTGAGTATATAAGAGGGTGTGTGTCTGCATGGCGACCAGTTGTGAATTCTTGAGTAGGTACTGGAATAGTGGTTTCTGGGTACATGGCTATATATCTGTAACTCCATGTGTCAATGTGTGTGAATGGGCATGTCTGTGACCATACAGAACCCAAGAACTTTGTGTCTAGATATATATGCATGAGAAGGAACCTTAAAGCACACTTTGGTATTCCTGTGGGTGTTTGGATCTGTGTGTGTGTGTGTATCTGTGTCTGAGTGTGCCAGTTCTGTGCGTTGACATGTATATGCGAGCATATATAGGAATGCATCTGGGCACATGAGGTACATATGGCTGTGGGCACAGGACCCTCACCTTCTTTAGACTTTCTTCTGACCTCGCTGTCACTACCACATGGGCTCCCATCCTCGCCAGATGATAGGCCATTTCTCTTCCGATTCCCTTGCTGGCCCCCGTGACAATCACTCTCTTTCCTCGAAGCATCTCTGGGAAACCCCAAAAGGAAGTGAGGACCATACATGGCAGCAACATCCCTCTTCCCATTCTCTGCTTAGGTGGAGAGCCTTATCTCAGTGTCTGAAGGTTATGAGCCCGTATCAGCTGATGTCAAGCTGCACAAATCAATAAAGGGACAGACCCGTCTTTCGTAAACATTTTCTGAAATGGGAGTTTGCTCTGGTGGCTCAGAAGCAAGTCTCCTCGCTGCCCTTTTTGAAAACCCCTATGGACAGAGAGTTTAGCTAAAACACTGGCGTTCCAGACATTTCTGGACTCATCCGATTGCTCAATTGAAATAAAATTCAAAAAGTCATCAAAACACATGTGCTCATAGAGATTCCAGGGATTTTCTCTCACTTCTATTTAGTCATCAACTCCAGAATTCTTTCTTATTTCCCACTTATCCACTCCTTCACAGAGCTCAATTATCTGGCGAAATTGTGAATTTTGGAATTACCCGCATTTTCCCCCCCCTTTTTTTTTTTTGCAAGAGATCTGAAATTGCTCTCAATTTAATGTGCCAAATAAAACATGGATTATTTAGCAATCTTTTAACTTCCTCACACCCCATAAACAGAAGAACAGTCTTACCTCAGAGTCCCCTCTTGTCCAGCAACTCTGGGGATCAAGAACTCCTTCTGAGCCTCAGAAACACTCCAGCCATCCCTGGGTGTTAAAATCTATTCCTCCAGCCATCCCTGGGTTTTAAAATCTTTTCCTCCAAAGTTAAGCACATTGGTACTTACCTGGTCTGAATTCCTCATTTGCAGAATAGTAGTAGTAGGCCAAGAAGATCCCCAGAATGGGGAGGAGGTATTTTTTCATAAAAGCCATCAGACAGGGATCTGGCCCGAGGAGCCCTGTGGGACACAGAGAGAACCTACAGAGCTTTCTACAACCTCCTAGGCAGGCAGCAGCCTCTGAATTGTGACATCAGGGACGGGGGAGGCTGGAGTAGTCTCAGGCAGTGCTAGCCAATTTCCCTGTCAGAGCCGCGATTGGCTTTGGGTGGGATCCCATTCGTCCCTGGCAGCCTGCGTGGTCGATTTCATAATGGACAATGTTTACTCCATTTCATTGAGCAAGAAGAGACTTCCAGATGGCCAGGCTCATGACTGTACAGAACTGGATTCCTGAGCATCCCTACTCCGAGCCCGTCTTCCTCGTAACGCCATTTACGCCAGGAATCAACGGCCTTTCAAAAGTGGTATATCAAAGGCTAGAGAGAAAGCGGGGCTTTCTGAGGGAAGTGTGACTAATAGCAAAGAGAGCCAGAGTCAAGCAAATCTCACTTTCAGCCCCACCTCCCAGTCGGAAGCAATTAAAAATAACAGCACAAAACAGAAAAATAAGCTTAAGGGGAAAAAAGGTGCACATCTTGGAGGGGGGAAAAAAAGCAAACAAGCCTTATAAACCCCACGTTCAAGTTCAATGAACAATATTACAGCATCAAAGGAGAATGCATGCCAGCTAGAACCCAGATGGCGGGAAACCCATGACCCGTCAAGACTCTCAGGCAAGTGCAATGGAATGTGCACTTACTACTTTCACAGCAAATAAAGAAGAGATGATGAGTGTCAAGGAAAAAAAGGCACTAAGCTATTAAAGTAGGTCTTTTAAACACTATAGAGTTCCAAAAAAAAAAAAAATGTGGGGAGGACAATAGGAAGAGGGGAACCTGATGTAGAAGAAAAAAGAATGAGCATCGTTGACGCAAAGCTAGCCTGAAAAGCTCACATCCAGTTAAAAATGGATCTGTTAAAAATTGATCTAGTTAACAATCAAAGGACTAGGGGGAGAAACCCCTAGTAATTTAGAATTTATCACAGAAATATAGAAATAGCCACGTTGGCATGTCTGTCACGAGGATCAATCCTCAAAAGAATTTAGGATATTGTAATTGTTAAGTTTTTCGATTTAAAACCCACTATCGAAACCTTACCCATTACCCTATCACAGAGAAAATCCAGAATTTTGCAAGTTTCCAGTGGAACCAAGGAAACGAATTTAATATGGCAGTAAGGATGGGTACCAGTGCTTTGAAGGAGGAATGTAGGTTGAGGGTGAAGGATTCACATAAGATTAAGAGAAATCGAATTATGACCCCCAAGTATAGTATCTGGAAACACTCACTGAATTTTCACTTTAGAGCAAGGAAAAATAATTTAAGACCCAGAGGAGATGAAATAATTTGTCAACAAAGGCCCACACCTGCTTTCCAGGAAACAGTACAGATCTGAGAACAGTTGAGGGTCAGATAGTTCATGGAGAACAAAATAGAAAAAATATTTTAAAAATTCAACTGGAAAATTACATTACATAGTGTCAGAACTATAAGATACACTCACACACAATGTGTGTGTATAACACATATATATACATATACATATTTCTTTTCTTGGTCACAGCCCGTGGCATGTGGAATCTTAGTTCCCCGACCAAAGATGGAACCAATGAAGTGTGGAATCTTAACCTCTGGACTGCCAGGAAAGTCCCTGATGAAATAATTTCTCATCAGTAAAATGCACTGATGAAAATGAGGACACTACATAATGGTTGATGACTTTAAATCTTAGCAGTTTTTAAAAGTTTTGGTCTAAGGATCTTTTTTTTTTTAATCAGAGTACAGTTGCTTTACAATATTTTGTTAGATGATGCTGTAAGATGAAGTGAATCAGCTCTGTGTGTACACACCTCCTCTCCCCCTTGGACCTCCCTCCCACCACCTCCTCTGCACCCTTTCAGGTCATCACAGAGCCCTGAGCTGAGCTCCCTGTCTATACCGCCAGCTCCCACCGGCCATCTCTTTTACACATGGTAGTGTATTTATGTCACACCTAATCTCCCAACACGTCTCATCCTCCCCTTCTCCCTCTGCATGCACATGTACATTCTCTGTGCTTGCATCTCTGTTCCTGCCCTGGAACGAGGTTCATCTGTACTATTTTTCTAGATTCCACATACATGCATTAATATACATTTATTTTTCTTTCTCTGATTTACTTCACTCTGTATGACAGACTCTATGTCCATCCACATCTCTACCAGTTTTGCTCCTTTTTATGATAGAGTAATAGTCCACAATATATACATAATGCATGTTCTTTATCCATTCCTCTGTGGATGGACACTTAACATTGTTTCCATATCCTGGCTATTGTAAATAGTGCTTCTATGAACACTGGGGTATATGTGTCTTTTTGAATTATGGTTTTCTCAGGGTATATGCCCAGTAATGGTATTGCTGGGTCATATGGTGGTTGCATTTTTAGTTTTTTAAGGAACCTCCATACCATTCTCCATAGTGGCGATATCAGTTTACATTCCTACCGATAGTATAAGAGGGTTCCTTTTCTTCACACCCTCTCTAGCATTTATTGTTTGTACATAATTTTGATGGTGGCCATTCTGACTGGTGTGAGGTGGTACCTCATTGTAGTTTTGATTTGTATTTCTCTAGTAATTAGTAATACTGAGCATCTTTTCATGTGCCTCTTGGCCATCTGTATGTCTTCTTTGGAGAAATATCTATTTAGATCTCTCCCCTCCCCCCATTTTTTGATTGGATTGTTCATTTTTTTGATATTGAACTGCTTGACTTGTTTGTGTATTTTGGAGGTTAATCCTTTATCTGTTGATTCATTTGCAAATGTTTTCTCCCATTCTGAGGGTTGTCTTTTCATCTTGTTTATGGTTTCCTTCACTGTGAAAAAGCTTTTCAATATAATTAGGTCCTATTTGTTTATTTTTGTTTTTATTTTCATTACTCTAGGAGATGGATTAAAAAAGATCTTGCTGTGGTTTGTGTCAAACAGTGTTCTGCCCATGTTTCCTCTAAGAGTTTTATAATGTCCAGCCTTACATTTGGGTCTTTAATCCGTTTTGAGTTTATTTTTGTGTATGGTGTTAAGGAGCATTCTAATTTCATTCTTTTACATTTAGTTGTCCACTTTTCCCAGCACCACTTATGAAGAGAGTATCTTTTCTCCACTGTATATTCTTGCTTCCTTTGTCTTATATTAGGTGACCAGAGGTGTGTGGGTTTATCTCTGGGATTTCTATCCTGTCCCATTGATCCATATTTCTGTTTTTGTGCCAGTACCATACTGTCTTGATTACTGTAGCTTTGTAGTATAGTCTGAAGTTGGGGATACTGATGCCTCCAGCTTCATTTTTATTTCTCAAGGTTGCTTGGGCAATTTGGGGTCTTTTGTATTTCCATATAAATTGTAAGATTTTTTGCTGTGATTCTGTGAAAAATGCCACTGGTAATTTGACAGAGATTGCACTGAGTCTGTAGATTGCTTTGGGGAGTATCGTCATTTTGACAATACTGATTCTTCCCAGCCAAGAACTTGGTATATCTCCCCATCTGTTTGTGTTAGCTTTGATTTCTTTCATCAGTGTTTTATAGTTTTATGAGTACAGGTCTTTTGCCTCTTTAGGTGGGTTAATTCCTAGGTATTTTACTCTTTTTGTTGAGATGGTAAATGGGGTTGTTTCCTTAATTTCTCTTTCTGATCTTTCATTATTTTAGTGTATAAGAATGCAAGAGATTTCTGTGCATTAATTTTGTATCCTGCAACTTTACTAAATTCTTAACTAACTTTAGTAGTTTTCTGGTGGCATCTTTAAGATTTTTCTATGTATGGAATCATGTCATCTGCAAACAGTGACAGTTTTACTTCTTTTCCAATTTGGATTACTTTTATTCTTTTTCTTCTCTGATCACCATGGCTAGGACTTCTAAAACTATG